ACTGAAAAGTCTGATTATACTTCGAAAAGTGTAAAATTATTAAAATACCTTTATAAGTATTTTCATAAATTGACATTTTCGAAGTAAAATTTTAGTGAAAATTTTTAAATCAGAATTGATTTTTTTTAAATAATTTTTGATGCATTGAAAACTTAGATCACACCTTGAGAGATGTGAAATTATCAAAATACTCTTAAAGATATTTTCATAATTTAAACTTTTCAAAGTTAGAATGTTGTGAAACACTCCAGATCATGGTTTGATATTATTTGATAATTTTTAAAATTTTAAAAATTTTGATTGTACCTCGAAAGGCATAAAATTATCAAAATAACTTTTAAGGGTAGTTTTGTAATTAATTTTTAAGGGTAGTTTTGTAATTTAATTTTTTTGAGTTCAATTTTTGGCAAAACTTTTTAGATCATGTTTTTATAATATTTGATGAATTTTGGTGCATTCAAAATTATAGCAATACCTCGAGAGGCATGAAATTATCAAAATACTTTTTAGGGTAATTTCGTAATTTGACTTTTCAAAGGTTGGATTTTCATGAAAATGTCAAATCTTAATTTCATATTATTTCATGATTTTTTGCATTTGAAAATCACAAAAATAAATACGAGAATATTGATTTCTAAGAAAATGACTTAAATACTGAAAATTTTCTAAGAAAATGGCTTAAAGACTGAAAATTTTGTATTATGGGTAAAATGGTCTTTTCACTTGATCCAAAAGCTTTAAAAATCTAACTTTTGTAGTGAACAATCTAAGCTGTTGGATCACATTGAGAATCTTGATCTAATAGCTAAAGTTGGCTCCTTGTAACTAAAACAAGGGAAACATTTTAGCCTTTAGATAACTTTTGATTTTAAGGCTAAGATTAAATTGCATGGGATATTTTTTCTATCTTCTTCAAGGGCTATTAGGGAGGACATTTTTTGCATTGAAAACACCAGAGGAGAGCTCATGAGAAAACAAAGGAGAGAAAGGAAAAAAATTGTGAGGAAAAAATAAGAAAAAAAATTCCTTGTGCTTTGTTTACTTGAAGGTATAATTTCTCAACATCCATATTTGCATTTCTTACATCTTCATCGCATTTTGCATTGCATTTTCATTTTGTTTCATTCATTTCTTTGTTGTTTTTCTTGAAGGTTTCTAGCTCATTTTCTTATTCAAAGTTTGAATCAAATTTCATCTAACTAATTAATAGTTGGAGTGAAGCTAGAAAACAAACAAAAACAAAACAATCCACCATTCAAAAAACAAGTTGGAGGTTCAACCAACCTCTTTCACCATAGCTAAACCTCCTATTGGCTCTCTCTAAATGTTTTCTTTGCTTGTTTTGCTACCTATGTTTGTTTGGTTGATGTTTCACTTGTTATTTGTTTAGTTTATGATTTAGTTTTGTGGTATATGATGGTGTTTGGCTCCTATTCAAGTTGTTCATTTCCTTAGTCATTTTAGCTTACTCCATGCTTAATAAATGCATTCTCATGACTCAAATCTCTTTATGTGATGAGTGAGTAATGCTTATTTGGATGAAATGGAATGGAAATGTGTTTAAGGAAACATCATGGAAGGTTCGCCCATTGTGTTCTTCTTGTAGGCCGAACCTTATGCTTATTTTGGTAAACATTTGTTACTTTATTCATGATTGTTGGATTGTGTGTTAGTTATAATTTTCAAGTTTTCAAGTGGATAAATTAAATTTCTAATAAAAAAATGTTGTTTTAATGGTTCGTTTGAGTGATTTTTTAAAGTTGTTTGGTTGGATTTGAATGATAAACAAATGGTGGAACATTCAAACCAATTTCAAAAGTCTGTTATGTTTGATCCTTTTTTTTTTTTTTTTGGTTTTTACATGCATGTCTTTTTGTGATTTAGTTTTGTAAATACTTTGTTTTGTAATTATTTTTCTCATGTCATGCTTTTGGCAAATCCATTCATTAATGTCATTTTTGTAATTTGCTGTCACATGTCCATTTTCATGAAACCTTAAAAACTTGAAACCCTAAATTCTCATTAAACCTTAAACGCCAAACCCCAAACTAACCTAAACCCTAAACCAAACCCCAAATCCTAACATAGACATCAAACCAATCTTCAAATCTTAAAACCAATCGTTCATTAGCATTTCATTTTATCTTGTCATCACCTGTATTTTTATATTATCCGTATTCATACTTTGCCGTTCATGTTATATTGTCATGCATTCATCATATTTTATTACATTTATGCATCTCATTCATTTGTTTTCAAAATTATGTTTTTAAAAGTAAAAATATTTTAAAATAAGATAATATCTCAAATAAATATAATCATTGAGATTTGGTTTAACTATAAGTGATTCTCGGTGATTATTATTTATGAGAGGTATTATATCAGCTTTGTGGGGCAATTTGAAAATCCTTAAATAGAGATATTTGTAAAACTCTACCTAATTATAGGATAGTGAAAGAAGTATTTCAATATTTAAGGTGTTTTCACCTTGATCCAAAAGTTTTTTTTTTTTAATTTTGATTTATTTTTGTTTTCAAAAAAAAAAAAATGAATTAACTTTAAACATTAAGACAAATATGACCATTTTTATCAAAATTAAAGCATAGCATGCAATCAATTAGTATCGCCTTCGACAGGTGCTGTAGGGGTGTTAATCATCCCTATACATAATCAACTCACAGACCTAAACTTTGTTTTCGCAGATCGTAAATTTGTTCTTTTTATAAAACTTTAAACATGTTTTAAATGTTTTATTAAAATGACAAAATTTTTAGGTGGTCAATCACACCCTAAAAAAAATTAATGGTGACTCTTGGTTTTGTTTTTATCAAAAATATTTTTAGCCCCTATTTTTCAATTCCCTACTCATCTAGCTTTCAGGTTAGTTATCTTCGGGTCCCAAGATGTCACGACAAGTTTAACACACTTTTTAAGGATATAAATTATATGTTTAAAGGTAATATTAAAAGGTATGAGGTTAAAGACGCTTTGAAAAGGATGAACATAAAGAGAGTTATAGCACTAGATGGAATTCTAATTGAAGTTCGAAAACGCTTTGGTGAAATAAGGATAAAATGGTTGACAGATCTTTTCAACAACATTTGGTTTACTCAAAAGATGTTAGAAGAATGAAGGAAGAGTACTCTAATGCCTTTACACAAGAATAAAGATGATATACAAAATTGTTTGAATTATTGAGGAATATAGCTTATGAGTCATATTATGAAACTTTAGGAAGAAGTAACTGAATATAGGTTGCGACATGAGGTCACTATTTTTGAAAACCAATTTGGGTTTTTGTTAGGATGTGCCACAACTGAGACAATTCACCTATTGAGGCTTTTGTTGGAGGATTTTTTGGTGAAAAAAAAATCTACATATGATACTTATCGACTTAGAGAAAACATATGATAGTTTTCGAGAAATGCTTTTATGATTCTTAATGAAGAAAGGAGTTCTTTTAAAAGTACATTAAAATAGTTAAAGATATGTTTTAAGGAGTTGTAAAGAATGTTAGGATGATTGGGGGTTTGACTTACAACTTTCTCATTACCTCAAGATTGTGTCAAGGTTTAGCACTAAGTCTTTTTTTTTTTTTTTTGCATTAGTTATGAATGATTTCATTTGATATATCTAAGACAAGTTGTCATGGTGTATGTTATTTGCCGATGATATAATCTTAGTTGTTGAAACTATTGATAATTTTAATGTGAAATTAGAATTATTGAGGTATACACTAGAGTATAGAGATTTTAAATTGAATATATCTAAAACTAAATATATAGAATGTAAGTTTAGTAGTCATAGGGAAGTGAGTGCTGGTGTGATTAAGATAAATGATGACGTAGTATCAAAGAGTAGTCATTTTTTATACATGAGATCAATTATTCAAAGCGATGCTGAGATAGAAAAGAATAAAAATCATAGCATTCAAATAGGACAGATGAAGTGGTGAAATGCGTTGGTGTGTTGTGTGATTGTAACATGCCTTTAAAGTTAAAGGTAAAGTTGTATAAAACAATTATAAGACCTGTATTGTTATATAAAACTGAGTGTCAAACTCAAGAAACAATATAAGAAGAAAATAAGTGTAGTTGAGATAAGGATGCTAAGATGGATGTATGGTAAGATTAGAAAAGACAAAATTAGAAATGAAAAGATTTAATGAAAATTAAGAGTAATCCGAATTAAAGAAAAGAGAGTCATTTGAGATGGTTTGGACATATAAAATGTAGCTCTATTAGTGCATTAGTTAAGAAAAATGAGTTTCTAGATTTTGAAGAGACTAAAACTTCTAAAGATAAATCCCGAAAGATGTGGATACAAGTAATAAAAAATAATATGAAGGTTAAGAAAGTAGGTGAAAAATATTTTTTTTTATATAAAAATGAATAGTGTAAGAAGATTCAAAATTAAAATTTAACATAATTTTTTTTTTGTCTTTCGTAGTCGATCTCAAAATTATAAGATATAAGATGTAGTTTATTGTTGTATAACATTTTCCAAGGAAATGATATAATTCAAAATGAATTAAACAGTTATCTGAACTACAAGCCGAAGGAACAAATGGTTAGAACATTGGTAAGTTGGGGACACGCCAGAGGCGTCAAAGCAAAATACATGAAAATAAGTATCATCATGTATCAGTACTGCAAGAGCAAGATTCATCGTAGAAAATGTTTAACTAATTTCTGCAGCATTATTCTGTTTAACATCATGTAGTAATAACATTTTCTGAGTATTTTCTAAGTCAGTGATGCTACTTTTAAGATCAGTCGAATGGTTCCGAAGGTCAATTATAATCATACATTTCAAAAGAGTATATAATAATTATCTAACAGTATTCATTTACTCAATTATGTTTTTGAACATGAATTCAATTTTGTTTTATGTGGGGTATAACTTATAATATCCTTAATCTATCTTCTTTTTAATTTTGAAATTTAATTTAGCTGATTCATATATTTATTTTTGAAAGGTGGTACCAGTAGATCTAAATTGTGAATTGCAGTACTTGTAATTTTTTTTTATTCTCAGACGTCCTTTTAAGAAAACAAAAGGATAAGAAAGTCTCTTAAAATGGGAAAATTAGATACATGTTGAGGTAGGGTCGAAGGTTTAAGGGAAAAATACATTTGGATCTCTTCACGATTTCCAGAAAATATTGGAACCACACTTGTATTTGTCCTTTCCTTCACATTCCAAGGCCAAATCATCAGACATGAATGGTACGTTCTTCATCCAAAAATACCAACAACAACAAAAAAAAAAAAGAAGCTCAGCCAAATATCATCATGAAATAGTCAACTAAAACTTGCAAAAAAGCATAAGTGAGAATTCAACCTTTTGCTTTGCAAGATCATGGCAGCCAGTAAAGTTCTCAGGGAACTTTCAGCTGCCAAATTCAACTGTGAATGCTCTGGCAAAGCTTGTTCCACTTGTGGCCAACCTCTTCTTAGCATTCAATTCCTGCAGGAATATTGTCCAATGACCATATACCGATGATCACCAACTTAGTCTACAAGAATTCCTAGCATGTTGATTGATCTTCTTAGTTTTCATAGCAAAAGCATACCTTGTTAGCTTTGCTCTTTTCAAGGTAATCATCAATGACCCCAGCATTTGCAGAAGAAGCAGCAGCTGCAGTGAAAAGGGTTGCTGCCAAATAGACCATAGCAGCTCTTCTTCCATCACCGGCACGTGATTCTTTGGAATCAGAAACTTTAGCCTGCTGGGCTTTGATCAGAGGCAGCTTGTGACCACCAGAGACAACTGGGGAAGCAACTGAAGGCACTGAAAAAAGCTTGGCATTAAGCTCAGATGATCCATTGCCTGAGATAGCATAGTTGCATGCCAAAACGCTGGAGTCCATGGCAGCCATTGCTGCAAAATGGACTTTGTTTACTATAGAAAATGGAGTTTAATTGGCCTTTTCACAAAGTCTCTTAGTATAATAGGTTCGTGCTCGGGGATATCTGATAAGGAGTGATGTGGCAAGAGGAGATGATGAATTGCATAAAAAGATTATGGTTGAAGTGCAGATAAGGTGAGATTGCCTCCCACTGGAAAACTTTACTCTTCATGCTATTTTTGTTGCAATTAGAGTTGTGGCAAGCTTGAATTTTGGCTGCACTTGGGATCTTAAAATTTGTGCTTGGTATCTCTAACCTCTCTGCCTCACTAGGAGTCAAGAGACTCGGCAGATAACAAAATTTTTACTGCAATTCAATGGCGTTGCATCAAGCATGGCAGCTTGAAGATGACGTCAATTAAAAAAATAATATAATTTGCATTAACAAAATATTCAGTGATGTGTTTCAATTCTATAAGTTTTTGTTGTCTAAAATCAGTAAAATTGAAAATAAGTGACAATTTAATAAAATTGGAACATTGAATCACGATGGAGTGACGTATTTTCCCTTAACCCCTAAAATTAATACAGCAATCAAGCTGTTCAGTCATATAAAATGATTGACAATTGACATATTTCATACTGCTCCATAATTGCAGGTATCAGTTAGGAAATTGAAAAACATTCCATAACAAATAGTTTCCAAGAAAAAAAAAAAGGTTTTGGCGACAATAACTTAAATCCAGAAAGACGAGAGCATGAATATCTATCTTCAAAAACATATATTAAACAAGTTTTTCTACATATAGAGACCTTCGGGAACCCCTTCTTTCTTCTTGAACATCACCTTTTCCTTGGCCTTTTTAAAGTCTGCATGCGTCACCTGAAACGTGGGATGGGATTTACAAATCAAACAGTTAATTCAGGCAATTACCCAAGAACGTCTAGATTTAGGTAAAACCTCTAGTAGCAACGTGAATGGCATCAACCATGTGCTAACGAAAGTGATATTACACTACTAATTACAGGTACCAATCAAGAGCCTGATTCTACATAACAAAGGAGAAAAATCAGAAATCCCTTTAACTACTTGGGCAGAATTACAGTACCATCAGCAGTCTAATACAAGCCCAAAATATAAGCAGGTTATCGAGGAAATGACCCTAAAATAGAAGAAAATGGGGCATCTTCCACTTGTGGAGTGCAGATAAAGGAGTTAAAGGCTGTCTCACAAGGATCTTAATTAGCAGCTCAGAACTTCTCGTTGCTACTCTTTTCAATTAATTCATTTTATATTTATTGCTTAACTGTTAATGATATGCTAAAAATGTTCTGTTTTTCTACTACAGGAGGTACATCATTCTGCAATATACATTCCCAACTCCGAAGAACATAAAATGACATAAGATATCTGTATTTAATCTTTTATTTTCTGTGTCTTACAATAACAAATGAAAAAAATTAGCAAATTTCATTGCACCCTATGAAAAATTGAAAGAGAAAAGAGAATTTGATGTATATATATCTCTATTTCTACAACAATTCCATCCCTACTAGCTATCAATCTGGAATTTAGTAACTAAGATACCTTCACCTCATAAGAAAAAAGTGCAGAATTTCTTCATTAAGAATTCATGTCTCACCTTCATGCGTCGCTCCCTTAAAGCAAGTAAACCAGCTTCAGTACATATTGCTTTTATATCAGCTCCAGAGAACTCATCTTTAGTCATAACAAATTCTTCCAAGTTGACGTCATCAGCCAATGTCATCCTTGATGTATGTATCTGCAATCCACAATTTTAAATGTGTCTAAGTATAATAATGAATCAAGCTTTATAGACTCAACCCACATAGAAAAAATGAGAGAGAGAGAGAGAGAAATGAATTCAATGTATAGCTTCAACACAATCATGCAATGCAATACATACCTGGAAAATGCGCCTCCTTGTTTTGATGTCAGGGAGAGGAAATTCAATCTTCCTATCAATTCGACCAGGGCGAAGCAAAGCTGGATCAAGACTTTCAATTCGATTTGTTGCAAGAATCACTTTGACATCTCCTCTTGAATCAAAGCCATCTAACTGGTTCAGCAACTCCAACATGGTCCTCTGAATTTCACGTTCACCACCAGAATGGGCATCATACCTGTGGGCATATTAGTGAGAAACATTCCAAGTGTACTTCCATCAAGGCATAGCTGTTTTACTAATATACCTCTTGGTGCCAACTGCATCTATTTCATCAATAAAGACAATTGAAGGGGAGAGATCATCAGCAACTCTGAAGAGTTCCCTCACCAATTTGGGACCATCTCCCAAGTATTTCTGAATCAATTCACTGCCAACAACACGTAAGAAAGTTGCTGATGTAGAATTTGCAACTGCCTGCAAAAGATGACACGACAAGCTCAGAATTATATTGATAAAGCAGTTCCAACCAGTAAAGCTAAGCATGTCATACGAGTGCAAACAAGTAGCCATTACCAAAAATAAATAAAGGGGGATAAATGAGTAGCAAGCATAAAATTATTCCCTAAACGCTAACAAACTCAAATTAAGCACAAAAACAAAAATCGCATTCATGTAGTATCTCTGTTCTCTACTATGTGTGACCATATCTCTGCCTCATAACCTAGTCAAAGAAGGAATTTTCTAATGCCAATGTTAAGATGATGAACAATGCAGTAAATATAACTCAGCATGAAAAAAGAATTAACAAGGGAATAAAGCTCATAAATGTAGTAAAAGATTCAAAACCTAGTCACACAAAGACCTTCCATTATAACTCTATGAGAAGATTAATAATGAACTGAACATGAAACATCAATGGACATAAAAATATGAGACACTGATGGTATGAAGTCCATGCAAAGATTGTCACATTCTAGCCAAGAAAGGAAGCTCCCAATATAGATCAATTATAAGGATGTTGTACATGCTTGTCCATAAAATTATACATAATTGATGTTTTAGGAATTTTAGGCTTCACTTGTCTTATAAATGGCCCCTCTATTGATTTTTGGAACTTTGTAACAGTAAAAGATAAGAGTACACACCTTTGCAAGCAAGGTCTTGCCTGTCCCAGGCTCTCCATATAAAATAACTCCTTTTGGAGGCTTTATACCAATGTCCTCATATAATTCAGGATGAGTAAGAGGCAGCTCTACTGCCTCTTTAATCTCCTGTATCTGGGCATCCAATCCTCCTATATCGGCATAAGATTCCAAAGGAGCCTTTTCAACCTTCATCACGGATACCATTGGATCAACTTCATCTTGCAGAAGTCCAACTACAGAAAGAACCTGAGAGGCCATATACAATAAGAAAGCATAAACATTTCTTTCCAAGAACATAGAACTGGCGAAAGACAAACCATAATATATTTGAGAAAATGCTAAATAATCTAACGAAAGAATAGATGCAGAAGCCCCAAATGCACGAATAGAGTTTATTTTATATAGATACCATTCAAAGTCAGGCGATCCAATTAAGATTGCAAACAAGCCAAGTTGATAACCGAAAACCATCCTGCATAAGCTTGTTTGTTCAAATTCTACATAGAACTCATGTGTGTTGAGAGCTCAAGGATAGTTGAGTTGAAGCTCGATTAAACAACCATTCTTTAAAGCTCATCCAGGGGCTCTAATCTTGAGTAAGAAATCATCAGGATTAAAACCCAATCATCCACTACTACAATTTTCAAATGAATTCTGTCCTATATAATAATTGTCCAACCACTAATTTTAAGCTTAATCTAACAATTGCACAAGAATTTGACTCAAAATGTATATTCAAATATTCAGCACATATAAAATTCAGCAAGGTTTTCAGCTAAAAGTAAAACTTCTTTTAATTACCTTACTATAAAAGATAAAATCTTGGAAAAATTTCCCTAGAATTGACTATAAATTGCATATCCATCAATTCAGCTCAAAAAGTTCTACTTGAGTTACCTTATTGTGCATCAAAATAGCACAACCAGGCTCCAGCTGGTCTTTATCAACAAAGGATAAAATGCCCACATAGTATTCAGGGCCAACCGACGACGAAACAATGGCGTGATTCTCATCGATGAGTTCCTCTAAATTGCCCACACTCATCGGGGAGCCTCTCAAATCATCGACTTTAGATCGGTCTTCCTCGGCTTTCTCTTCTTGGGGCTTTAGCCTTTCCTGGTTAGCAACGAACTCTTCTTCCATAAGTAAATAATCCTTTATCCGCTCCAGCTTTAACAGCCGCAGCTTGCACTTGCTCAGTGGGGTTACCGTTGGAAGCCGAGCTGCCGCTTCTGGACCCTTTTGTTTTCGTTGCTTCCGACCCACCCTCGCTGGGGGTGCGGCTGGCTCGAACTTCTTTTCCTTCTTGTCGGAGCCATCGCCTTTCCGGTCCCCAGGATGGCCCTGCCTGTTCATACCGCCCGGTGTTCCTTGACCCATGCTTTAAGCCTTTGAGTTCGGTCTCCAGAGAGAGAATGCTGAAGGTTTCTTCAAGTTTGGCTTTGGGATCAGGTTACCGTATTTATATTATGCTAACGAGGAGGGTACAAAGGTAAATGCAAAATATTTATGATAAAAAATAATGCAAAATATTTATGATAAAAAATAATGAAAAATAAGGAGCTGCTAAATGTTTTTTTTTTTTTTATATATGTTCAAAATTTTTTTATTAAAAGAGAATCTATTTGCCTCCCATTAAATACTCTTCACACTTTTTTTTTACAAAATTATTTTAAAGTTAAATTATATAATTATTGTTTATTAAATTATTTTTTTGCTTTTTCTTCGCTCATTTTATATATATATATATATATATTTTTGGTGATTTTTTTTTTTACAATTCAATCCTAAACTTTAATTCATTAAAATTATTTTTCTTATATCTTACATTGTAAAAATGGATAGCCAAATAGAAAAAAAAATTGATGAGGATGAAAAAGGCCAAATAAATTATGAGATAAGCCTGTCTTAAATTTGAACTACAAATTTGTACACCTAAATAAATAGAAAATAATATACCAAATATGCATATCCAATATTATTCATGATATGTATATCTAATAACATATTGTGACTTCCAAATATACATATCCGGCAAGTATTTTAAATTATCAAAAATATATATTTGAAAATAATTATGTATTATTGGATATGCATATTTGGTAACATAAAGAACTTATCATATATGTATATCTGATAACATAAAGAATTTATCAGATATGTATAATCCGTAACATACAAAACTTACCGAGTTTGTATATTCGATAATGTGATCATTCTAATTTTTTAAACTTTTTTCAATATGTAAAGCAATTTTGAAATGATACTTGTAGAATAGTATAAATCACTGTACAATTTGGATACAAGATACGATTACAACTCTTCATTTACTAAAATATATGTATTATGTTTTTAAAGTTATATTATACAGAGGCATATGCTAGTTTATATAGATATACAATGTGATAAGTTTAATATGTTGTGTAGCAAGGAAGCCTTAATTTCATG